AAAAAGTAATGCAGAAGAAGAATGGTACATACCTTCCCTTTCTTTCTTGGCACAGGTTTCTCTTTCTCCTGCCTTATATTTGACTTCTCAGGTGCTAGAGACATGCTTTCTTGTTCAGCTGTAGAGCTGGAGATGCATTGTGAGCTGAATTCTGCATCTGAAGACCTGGAGACTGTTGAAATTGTTGAGTATTGAATGCTAACAGAGCTGAAGCATTCTCAGGAAATTCTTGACCAAGTGTATGAGCACTGGGGCAGGACTAGGTGAATTGGGAGACAAGAAACCTGGTTGAAGCTGGGTATGTATAGGAGTTGGCTAGTTAAATGCATGCATTTGCATGCCTGGTAGAACTGTTACTAGTGTCTGTGACTGATTTTGATGCTGAGAAGGATCCTAGGGGTTATTTGGGTCCATCTTAGACGTCTGAGGATGACAGGGGGACAATTTCTGTATTTTTTTTGTGTAACAGCACTCATGTCTCACATCTGAATCCAAAATTTCCATTTTGAGATTAAAATAATTATATTTAATTATATAAACATTATTATCTAAGTACTTGCAGATCCTCTGCAAGTCGTCACTTCAATTTTGAGGGACTTGCGCTGCACACGGGATCTTACTTTTCTGATGCCGATCTCTCTCTGCAAGTCCCTCTGCCAATTAATTGAAGTCGCCTACTACCCACAAACCAAAGAAACGTTACTTTTTTGGTTCCTGCAGGATCGAGTTGCCTTCCCATGACGCTCTGATGGAGCACTGCGCCGATGGGCACACTAACAATTTCTATATTCGTTGCCCTGCTTGCTATTTGAAATTCGGCGACACGGAGGCACTTCTCAAACATGGGGACGAGAAGCATTTTGTATGCTGGGCCTGCGAAAAGATATTCACCACATCCGATGCATATGCGAAACACAACGAATCTGAACACCACTATTGTCGTGAATGCGACAGATTCTTTATCTCCTCGCAAAATAATCTGGAACAACACCATGCTTCATCTCGTCACACACCAAAATTGATACAATGCCCAGGAAGGCTGTGCGGCAAGAAATTCACCCACTTGTCCTACTTGGTTCTCCATGCAGAGACTGGCACCTGCCCATCTGGCATTACGCGAAAGGACATCAACGCATTTATCGCACGGTACGATAGAGAGAACGTCATCACAAATCCTGCGCGCATGATAAATGGACCCGACGGGACGAAATACCCTTCTTCCGAACCCGAATATTATGCGACCGAACGTTCTTGGAATGGCCAGGCATACGAATGCTTTTTGTGCAGGAAGGAATTTAGGACGTTATACGCACTCAATCAACACCTGAGGAGCCCGCGCCACCTCCAGAAAATGTACCACTGTCCGAAGCGCGGCTGCAACAAGGAGTTCAGCGCACTCAGTTCTCTTTGCCAGCACGTCGAAGGAGGCTCGTGCGGTGCACGCCAAATGGGTGTAGTCGAGGACGTGATGGAATACCTAGAACGAGGAATGGGATTAATGACTGTGTAAAGCACAATTTCGGCCTTTGGTTCCTCCACCCTTTTTATATCCGAATCTGTCGCCGGAGCTCAGACCCGTCTGTCTACCTTCCTCCTCTCCCAGGATGCCTCAGTCGAAATGCGGCACGGTAATGGCAATTCCGACCTTTTAACACAGTGTAATCTTCTCTAATCCTCTTGCATCGTAATGACGAATCGTCACTAGCCTTCCCATATCTGAAATGCAACGTGAAAAGTATGTATTATATGAAGGATGGCGTTCCGCCACTGCACGAAGCCACCACCACGGCTATTAATATTTTGAAGAAATTAGGAGAAGAAAGTTGGATGGCAGAAACAGCTCCACCCGCCCACTCCTGCAGCACCCATGATGTTAATCTGGTTCTTGCTGGCGGATGTTGACAATCGACATCAGCCGCCTATCCTCGTCCGTGATGCAAACTTCGCGCGTGACACTTAGTCTGGCTTGAATCGCTCAATGCCTCGGAGGAACCCAAATAAACAAGCCGCCATTCAATGCTCGTAGCCAGCCGCCGACAGGAATTTGCAAAGGATTTTTGGCCTGTTTGACCGGTCCTATTGACGTAGAAACATCCACGAAAACAGGAACCCAGCAATTTTCACCGAGAATCATTAACTTGATATAAGCATCAGTAGTTGGTCTGGTCAGGCGCAAGGGAAGGAATGCCTATTTTCTGTGTTTGCGTAGAGTTCAAGACGACGCGCATAGAGTACGAGTGGAAACTCCCGAGAGCCTGTGGGAAACTAGTTTTCCACAGGTCATTTTGCTGGGGCTCTGGAGGCGTGGTAAACCTCGCGTGGACAACACTTAGTCAGCGTATTAGTAATATCATTATAATGTTCCAAAAAGGAAATTTTAAAGAATTTTGTGTCGTTTACCTCTATTGAGCTGAAAATTTAGGTACAATATTAATTTCAGACATTGGTTATACTGCTGAGAGCAATTTTATTGTGTTTTATAGTCTACCAGTGTTGAAACATACATAATAAATAGATATATCTAAGAGAAATAAAAAGAAAGAGGCAACTAATTACATTGACCAGGCTTTATTATTGTTCAAAATTTGTAAATTGTCTGAAGAGGTACTGGAAATATTGTCCATATCTATCACTTGTACCTCTCCAGTTTTATCAGAGTGTACTCCTTCAAATGAAGGAGTATCTGAAAGAATGTCAAGCAAAATAGGAGATGTTAACCTAATAAAATGACAGACATAGAGTATATACACTCTCAAGCTATCTATTTTCCTTGCTTTTCGTCAGGGTGAGGCATTTTTTCTTAATTTATCTACTGACATAATATTATGTATGACTAATACATTTGAGTTTTCCACAGGCCAATTTCCGGCAACCCTTGTGGTAGTGAGGTTTACCTCGTGGGAAACCTCTGTGGTAATCCTCACTGTGGGAAACTAGGGAGTTTCCACTCGTACTCTAGACGCGCAACGCAGGATAAAGAGATCTTATAGCTTACGTAATCATAACCCTTACCTAACGCGCATGGCGGCACACGTGTGAAATGCACATAACTTGCCTCCTCCTCCAATTTAATACGGGTTCGCAGGTCCTTGCTGGATTATGAGCCCATGAAGCGTTGTTGTGCTGGCTCTGCTGAGGAGAACCAGATAGCAGAAGTAAGGCCTACAATTGCATCATTCGCAACTTGGTGGTATACTGTCAGCGCATGAAGAGCCTGTCTGCGCAATATTTACAACCGTAAACCTTCCTCCCTTATAATCTCGCCTGCAAGTTTCTTCGCCTTTTCTTTTTCCAGGGAATCATCAGAAACCCTGCAAAAGCGAAAATAATCCAACCTCCTAAGGCGGCAATACTCCTTGTCGATCTCCGTGTTAAGTTCTCGCAGTTTCGCAATCAATTCATTACGGCGGCGGGCGATTTCTTCATCAAGTTTGTCTTCTCGTTTGCCGCCCATTCCGAAATTCTGTTTACCGTCTGGCTTGTCCACGCGCTCCCGTGACTTGAGCCGCGCAACCTCTGTGCGGTGGTCGCCGCTCGAGCGCGAAGCTTCTGCTGTGACCACTTTGGAAGAGGGAGCAGCATCGTTTATCTTGCGCTTCTTGCCTTTGTGCTTGTCACGAACCTTGTAGTTTATTGGAGTGCCATCTGGGCGGAGCCCTATCTCGCGCTTTAACTCATCAGAAGCACGTTCGACACTAAGAAAACGGGTCAGGACCTCTCCATATTTGACTATATATGTTACTGTACTTACGCTTCACTTATCATTGCGAACATAGGCGATTTGGCAAACTCCTCTAGCTCCTCTTCGGTAAAAGACATATCGTCTGAGTCGTCACCAGTGCCTAAATGTTCGTTTAGATAGTCTAGCCGTGGAAATTCATGCACCGTTAGGGTTTGTCTAGAAAAAGTAACACAATGTGCTTACTGTGATACTGTCTGAATCTGTGGCCATTCTGCGTGGTCGTTGCTGTTCGGAGAGAGTTTGTGTGGCCTCCTGTGTGTGTGCAGACTTCATTGTAACGGGTACAGGGGAAGGGGAAAGAGAGAAGGCTTGTTTCGCGTAGAGACAAATGTCTCACTTATTCCTTGTTATATATATATATATATTGGCTAACGTCAATCAATTTGCTTGTTAACCCCAAATGTTAGATTGTACTTTGATTCCCGCGATTGTCCCTCATTGATATTACCATAAAGAAACTCAGGGATAATGCCTGGTCGTTGATTGGGAGCAAGTGTACCTTGAGCTACCATATCACATGTCAGAACAATTTACTGCCCTTTTCATAAGTATTGTCACACTTGATGATTCATCATTTTTTGTCACAAAAGTAAACAAAACAAAAAATAACTATTTCTCACTCAATTCTGTACATAATTCAGTGATTATTTGACATAAACTCATGTTTTTTAAATATGCTTCAAATAGACACTTTAATTATTAAATTTGAGCAAGATTTGACTGAGTTATAGTGAAAATACACTGTTTTTCATGTTTTCTTAATATTTGAATTTTCATTCCTTCAAAACTCAACATATAAGCTTGGAAAAC